GACACTGAAGACTGGAGGAATGATGCTGAAAATACAGCTGCGCATCACAGAAATAAATAGGATTTTAATGTATATTAAAATAGAAAAACATTATTTTACATCGTAATAATATTTTACAATATTAAATTTTTTCCTGCATTTTTGATCAAATAAATGCAGCCTTGATGAGCCTAAGAAACTCCTGTAAAAACATTAAAAATCGTTCTGATCCCAAACCAATCTCAAAGTAAAAGGCGGTACTAAAGTCTGATTTTGTGGTGGATGTGTTCAAATTTGATCATCTTAATTCAAGTGATGAAGGATTTTGAAAGTCTAGTGTTGAGCACTACTGTAAGGTTAACCCTGCATGGTGTAAATGTTTGAAAACTATTAACAGTTGCAAATAAACATTCATCACAAATTTAGAAAAGTAATCAAAAAGTAATCAGTTACATTACTTTAATAAAGTAATTGAAAAAGTTACACTACTATTACATTTTAAATAGGGTAACTTGTAATATGTAACCTATTACAATTCCAAAGTAACCTTCCCAACACTGGTTATAATGTAATGATCGAGGCTCTGGACTCTGAGCATAACATTTTTTCTATAACAAACTATAAAATATTTTCTATAAAAACATTAATGCCCTGGCAGTGGCAAATAGCTTTGGTTTTATATTTAATTTGATTACATTAATGTTATAAGTTGAGATTTACAAGAAATATTTTAACTGCTACTATGTAAAAGGAATACTGCTGTAAAAAAGCACCTTAATTGTTTAAAGTGTTTGCAAACCAAATAATATTGCACTTTTGTTCATATAGCAGTACTTTTAAATGAAAAAGTGCACAATACACTACTTCTGAATTCATTATTGAATTTTGTGCATAACTATGCGATTAATCGCGATGAAAAAATTTAATTGTTGCCCAGCACTAAAATATATATATAAATATTTTAGTGCTGGACAACAATTGCCTCTGTTTTCCTCTATTATTCTCATATGACTCCTCTGTACAAAAACATGTTTACAGGAAGGGACATTAAGCGGAACTATAAAGGACAGGAGATATCTGCATAAATATGGAAAAGATAAAAAAAATGCGTCAGAGACTAGTTAAGAACTGACATGGAAGAAGTATCCTATACAATATTCACTGTATACAGTATACTACTGGTCTACACCAATAAAAGTCACAGATACCCACCTAACTGCTGGAAGAGGAGCGCTACACTTTTACCGCTGACTGGCAGAGTGTCATTGAGTGGGGTCTGGATGAGCTGCCGGTCCCCTGCTCCCAGTGAAAAGAGCTTCTGAAAACATCAACACAAACATTCTGGTCTGGACAAATGCATAATGTAAATACATTAACAATGAATACCAAATAACACCTCAGAGCTACACAAAAAGTACAATACAGGCTGAAGCATATTAAAAATAAACATTTTTAATTATTAATTTTATCATTTAATTTATTAATGTTTAACTGACATTCATTTAAAATGTTAAGGTTATATGTTTCTACAGTAACACTTTATTTTAAAAGGGTCATATGATGCTGCTAAAAAGAACATTATTTTGTGTATTTGGTGTAATGAAATGTGTTTATGCGGTTTAAGGTAAAAAAAACCACATTATTTTCCACATACTGTACATTATTGTTTCTCCTCTATGCCCCGCCTTTATGAAACGTGTCGATTTTTACAAAGCTCATCGGTCTGAAAAAGCGAGGTGTGCTCTGTACTGAAAAGAAAAATGTAACTGAAGGTGCAGTTCAGGACAGAACTTTTAATTATTTTGCATGTTCCAAACCTAAGGATGTAAACCTTTTTATGCGAGGTCCACACAAAAAATAGGGTTGACCATGTTTCAGAATTTGTTGTGGGTGTATGAGTGTGAGATTTCCCTGACTGAAATTTTTTTCCCAGTCCACCCCTCATGGACAAATCTTCCCAGATAGTGACGTAGGTATGTGGGGGCGTGTTAGAACGAGCCGTTTTAGGTAGGTGTGGTTGACTCTTAACTTTTATAAAGAATATCTCTTTGGATTTGAGACTTTAGTCTTTGCAACTTTACAGATCTTCTTTATGCACCAAGAGCTTGTAACACTTCAAAGAGAAAGGAAAAATTGAAATCGCATCATATGACCCCTTTAAGGACTAATTCTCACTATTAACAAGTTGTTATTACTATTAGCATGCATATTGCTACCATATTGGCTGTTTATTAGTACTTATAAAGCACATATCAATGCCTTATTCTACATGACTATATTTTAGATCCCTTAGAGCCTAAAACTAACAGATACCTTACTAACTATTAATTAAGCAGCAAATTAGGAGTTTATCCAGGCAAAAGTTGTAGTTAATAGTAGGGCTGGGTACCTAAACCCGGTGCCAATATGCCGAATCAGAACGCAGATTTTGGTGCCTCATTTCGGTACCACTTAAATGCCTGAGCGATCGATTGAAATATGTGTCCTGGTTCTCCGAAATGGACGTAAGAAGCATGGGCGTTGCTAGGCTCTTCAATCTGCAGACCGCAGCGGCGCAGCGTGAGCGGACTCAAACAGAAACAGAGGACACAAGGTGTGTGTTTATCGATAGATTGTTATAATATCTGTATCTGTGCAGTTCTTTGTCATAAATACAGTTTACAAACGATCACGAGGGAGCAATCGGTTTCCCATCTACAGTAAAGTTTTCGCTGCGTTCACCCCTCATCACACCACAGCTGTTTCCTCCAGCAAATCGATACCCAACCCTAGTTAATAGTTAGCTAATAGTGAGAATTGGTCCCCAAACTAAAGTGTGTCCATTTCTACAAATCAAGCGTAGTTTTAGTTCTGTCAGGTCACGTCAGTCAAGCTCGCATCAGCTGACTCTCAGCTGATTCATGTCTACCTATAGGGATCCGACGCCTATCATAGCATCCATATATATGGTCCTTTAGTATTATCAGCAGCTTTCGCATTGCTCAATAGCTAATTGCCGTCCTCCATCCCCAGCTCCTCCTCTCGTCCAGTCAGGATTTGGCCTTTTGATTCCCCTTTGAATCAGACTCATTTAAAAAATGTGTACATTAAATTATTGAACATTAATGATATCTGCAATACATTTATGTTGGTTCTGCTCTGTTTACCCTAGGGTGGTTATCGCTGCTCTCCCTGCTCTTATCCAAGCTAGGCTCCCGTCAGTTTTGTGTTCTACACGTGATTCAAATGCTCTGCTCTCCACCCAAATATAAAAGCTGCTGTCGGTTAACGAAGATTTGACGAATGAACGCGCGGCACGATTGGACTCTTGTCGTGTCAGAAAGTGATAAGACTTTCAGTTTTATGGACGTCGCCATCTTTGATTTTACTTTGGTCACTTTCCCTATGGTTACTAGTAAGGAATACGGGCTTGACTCCCGTTGCATGTTCATACAGACAGTATTCTAAACACAACTGTATGCTGCTGTGTGAACGGGACATTTCGAGACTCACACCTGTAAAGAGAATGCGGTTGTCAATCCCAAAACCTGACAGTGTGAGCGTAGCCTTAATGTGCTGGCAACTGTGATGAGTTCTAAAAAAAAACATTGTTGCAGCTCAGTTTCCAAAATTGGGTGAACTGGGAAGTTAAAGGATCTGTCAAGTTCAAAATCTAATAATATATATACATTTTATTGTATATATATATATATATATATATATATATATATATATATATTTTTATATATACCAAATAATATATTTTTTATTTTTTATATATAT